CCCTTACCCCTGCCTCTGTGGCAGACAATTTCCCTCTTTCTCTCTCTCTCTCTACTTTTGGGCATTATGGTTTGCAGTACAGATACTGAGAGGCCAACATTTTTGTCCTTTATCTACTTTCGGCACACATCTCCCATCCCAAGCGATCCCTCCAACCATCATTGGCTTAGTGATCCCTTCTCAATCCCAGCTGCCTTCTAGTTCAGTCTTTTCTTTGCAGGCTGGACAGGTACTATTAAAAATAACGCTGAAAAATAAGATTTTTAGAAATTAATTTTCAAATAGATAAGTCATGTGCAAAGTCACAATTCTCAAGGTACCAAAAGATACATGTTAGAAAGTGGCTACAGTTTCCCCAACAAATTTCTTCTCAAGTATAATTATCTGTTCCTTGTCTAGGTAACCTCTGTCTCTGTATATTTTTTATATTATTTACAATATGAGTGGTGCCCCTTGCTTACTCCTGGCTCTGTACTCAGGAATCACTCCTGGCAGGGCTCCAGATCCATATAGGATGCTGGGGATCGAACCCGTGTCGGCCACATGCAAGGCAAATACCCCATCCACTGTACTATCTCTCCAACCCCTAAATTTTTTTGGGCCATACTTAGTGATGCTCAGGGATCACTTCTGGTTGGCCATGTGCAAGGCAAGCACCTACCCACTGTACTATTGCTTTAGCCCCTAAATTTTAGGGGTTTTGTTTTGGGGTCACACCCGTAGGTGCTCAGGGGACCATATGGGATGCTGGGAATCAAACCTGGGTCAGCCGTGTGCAAGGGAAACGCCCTACCCGCTGTGCTATTGTTCCAGCCCCTAAATTTTAGTTTTTAAACAGCCTTATTGAGTTATAACTTACGCACTATATAAAACGTTCAATGTATCTGACTATTTTGTTTGTTTTGGGGCCACACTCTGCACTGTTCAGGACTTACTCCTGACTCTGCACTCAGGGATCACTTTTGGTGGTCTGTGGGTACCATCTGAGGTGCCAGGAATCAAATTTGTGTCAGCCCTACCTGCTGTGCTATCTCTCTGGCCACATACCTTGTTTTTAAAATATTATAAAGTAAGTACCATAAACATGAGTAAGTTTTGATATTACAAGTTCTTATTTGTAACTTGAAAGTGTCACTGTCAAACAAACACTGTCCTCCCGTTGATCATCGATTTGCTCGAGCGGGCCCAGTAACGTCTCCATTTTGAGATTTGTTGTTATTGTGTTTGGCATATTGAATACATCACGGGTAGCTTGCCAGGCTTTGCTCGAGCGGGCCCAGTAACGTCTTCATCTTGAGATTTGTTGTTATTGTGTTTGGCATATTGAATACATCACGGGTAGCTTGCCAGGCTTTGCTGTGCGGCCAAGATACTCTCGGTAGCTTGCTGGGCTTTCCAAGAGGGGCGGAGGAATCGAACCCGGCTCGACTCCACCGGGCTGGCTGTGCAGAAAGCAAATGTCCTACCACTGTGCTATCGCTCCAGCCCTGTGCTATTGCTGGGCCATACCTGGTACTGCTCAGGGGCTATTTCTTGTTCTCTGCTCAGAAGTGACCCCTGGTGGTACTTAGGGGACCACCTAAGTGTTGCTAGGGATAGAACTAGGCTTGGCCGTGTATAAGCAAACACAGCCTTTTGGCCCCTCTGCTTCCCATTTATTTATTAGAAATAGATCAAATACTCCTGAAGTAGTTCCCTTATTACATAATATTTCAGGACTGAAGATACAGATGAGTGAACTTAAGTCAATCCAGGTGCTGCAGGGGTCCCAGAAACAACAGAAAAGGTCTCAGTATATGAAAACATACATAACCTAACTAAGTAAAACAATATGCACAAACTGTAACATTTGCATTGACCCAAGGGGGAACATGGAGGTGCTGAAAAGATCATGAATGAGGCAGAGATCTGGGGTTAGGAACTGAAGAGTGCCTGTGGGGCTTGAGGTTTCTTTGACCAAAGGCGGCTGACAAAGTCCGTGATCGTGATCAGCAGAACTTACACTTACAGTTATTGTCACCAGTTGTACCAATCTGTTTAAGTTTAGAGCAGACTATACTGATAATATCCTATGCAAAAAAAAAACAGTACTAATTATCCATTTTCTTGTTAAGTGGAAGTTTTTGGTAAACTTTTGCCTGTATCAGTACAGTTTTGGATGGGAATGTGAAGGGAGGAAAAGTTCTATTAGAAAGTCAATTTTGTTTTTATTTCATTTTGGTTTGGGGCTACACCTGGTGGTGATCAGGACTTATTCTTGGCCCTGCTCTCAGGTGGACTTGGGAGACCCTATGTATTGCTGGGAGTTTCCTACCCGCTGTGCTATTGTCCAGTCCCTGGAATGCATGTGTTGCATGCCTAAGACCTACTTTTGAATACAGACACTGCAACAAAAAAGTTAATCTTAGAGATCACTTAGAGTCTAGATTTTAGATTAATACTATTTAAGATATGAACTGCAGTCAAGCACTGTTCTACAACTTGTTAGTGATGAGAAGTTTTGGTCTGCAAGCTGGTTGGAATATTATAAAAAGTTGGGAGCCCAGTATACATTTTTAAAAGTATGATCCATGAATTTCAGAAATTTGAGAAGCAGTAGTTCTGTCAGTCTTAACTAGAGAGAGGGAATACAGGGTTAAGGCATTTACCTTGCATATAACTTGTAGCATATAACCCATACATGTTTAATCCTTGGCACTAGATTATTATATCCTGATTACTGCTAAGAGTGACCCCTGAGCTCAGTAAGCCCTGAAAACTGATGAGTGTGGTCCCATCTCCATCCCCCAAGATCTTGTCGAATTAAAAATTTTTTTTTTATTATAATGCAGTGATTTACCAAGTGCTTTATAATATAGTTGTTTCCATAAATGTTCCAACATCAGTCCCATCATCAGTGTGCCTTTCCCTCCCCAGCATCCAGTTTTCCATTCACCATCCCTTGTGGGCACAAATTTACTTCATATTGTTGGTTATAACACAAATACAAATGGAATTATCAAAACTTAGATCAGTAAAACTCAGTTTGTGGTAATTGCTGTATCTCACAGTCTCACAGTATCTCACAAAGTCTTTGAGGATTTACTGGGCTGGTTGGTACTAGTTGAGTTTTCTTTTAAAAAAAATTATTTAGGTTTTTGAGTCCCATCCAGCAATGCTCAGGGTTGGCCATGTGCAAGGCAAGTACCATACCTGCTGTACTACCTCTCCAGCCCCTAATTGAGCTTTCTGTGTTTTTGTTTAGGCTCAGTGAGCTTGCTAGTTTGTTTTGTTTTGTTTTTTGCTTTTTTGGGTCACACCTGGCGATGCACAGGGGTTCCTCCTGGCTCATGCACACAGGAATTACTCCTGGCGGTGCTCAGGGGACCATATGAGATTCTGGGAATCAAACCCGGGTCGGCCATGTGCAAGGCAAACGCTCCTACCCACTGTGCTATCGCTACAGCCTCGAGCTTGCTAGTTTTTTATGCAACTTTCCCATCAGATTTGCTGTGAGCCTACTGGGCTGACAGTACAGATTGTTCGATGAACCATAGAGCTGGAACCTTTTGGTGTTTAGCAGTTTGAGGAGTGTCAGTTGTGGAGCTGGACCATTTCTGTGTCAAAGGGTGTCAGGTGTGGCTGCAGGCTTCTGTACCTTCTGGGAGAAAGGGTAATCTACCCCATTTCTAGAAGGCCCTAGCGTTGTCAGTCCAGACCAGTATGCCTGGGAAGACTGGGCAACATCATGTTCTTTCCGAGATTAGTTGTGGAGCTCTGTTGGTAAGATGGCCTCTTGTATTTTCTTGACCATTTATTTCTGACCAAGAGTCTTTTTGGTTTGTGTTGGGCCACACCCAGTGATGCTCAGGAATTGCTCCTGGCTCTGTGCTCAGGAATTACTACTTGCAGTTCTCTGGGGACCACATATGGGATTCTAGGAATTGAATTTAGATCAGTCATGAGCGAGGCAAGCTTTCTACCTGCTGCACTATCAATTACTCCTGTCCCGATAACCATTTTAAAAGTGCTATTAATTGCCAGGATTATCTTAAATAACGTTATATTCACTGGTTCCAACAATCCTGTGGCAAAGTATAGTTGTATTGCCATTTCCTAAGAAATTTAAGAATTACTTGTACTGTACCCAAGGTTACAGATCTTTTAAGTAATAAAGCTGGAATTTGAAGTCTTCACTTCAGAGACCATGTTTTGCTCTGTGTCCCACGCCACACTTTTCGCCCACCTTTTTGAGTGTGGGAAACACACATAATGGCACTGTAGGAGATCGTGGAGTACCTAGGAGCAAATCCAAGGCTTTCACGTGCAGAGCATGCACTCCAGCACTTTAAGCAATCTCCTAGGCCCCACACCACAGTTTCTCAGTAGAGATTTTTTTTAGGCGCTCTTGACTTTTTTTTTTTTTTTAATTTAGTTACTGTGAATTACAAAGTTATTTGTGATTGAGTTTTAGGCTTACAATATTCCAAAACCAATCTCTTCACCAGTGTACACTTCCCTCCACCAGGATGTTGACTTGTTGAATGGGACAATTCTCCACATAGTAATATCTGTCTGCTTTGGTAATTATCTACAACCCTCAGATTTTTCAATAATTGTTGAGCCAAAACTTAACTGATTTTTGAACCATTTTCTAATATAAATACAATACTTTATAAGTACACGTTTTTCTTTCTAAATAGAATATATTAATTTATTTTTTTGGATTGTTTGCTTTCTATTTTTTGTATTGTTTTTGTTTGTTTGTTCATGGTTCATGGGGCCACACCCTGTGTGGCTTTGGGCTTACTCCTGGCTGTGTGCTCAGGGATCACTCCTGGTGGATATCCTTGGGGAGAGTATCCTTGGGGTGCCAAGTATCAAACATGGGTTGGCAGGTTCCCTGCCCACTGTACTCTTTCTCTGACCCCTAGGAATTGTATTTTCTTTTAACTTTTTGTGAGAATGACCTCTTTTTATTTATTAGGTTTATTTAAAGGAAAAATTATCTTTTTTCTCAGCTTGCTGAGCTGAAGCAGGAATGTCTTGCTCGTGGATTGGAGACCAAGGGAATAAAACAAGATCTCATTAACAGACTCCAAGCGTATCTTGAAGAGCATGGTAAGTGCTTTGTGGACACAAAGATTGATATAAGGAGATTAAAATTTTAGGCACTTATGGAGTTTTCTTTTTGTTGTGGTAGTTTGTGATGGAAGCCCTTAATTATCAAGAAATTTTTTAACCTGAAACAGTGGTTATAACTGATCATATTGACTCCATGAATTAACCGTTTTAGATTAGTTTCTCTTACAACAGTATGCATTTATATTCCCTTCAGTCTTCATGGCTCTATGGCTATTTAGCTACTGATAGCATCTTGCCCACATGGCAAAGCCTGGCAAGCTACCCTTGATGTATTCAGTATGCCAAACAGTAACAAGTCTCATGATGGAGACGTTACTGGGCCCCCTCGAGCAAATAGATGAACAACGGGAGGACAGTGCTACAGTGCTAATAGTCCATTACCTATATGCATACAGTTTTGTTCACCTATGGGAGACCCTTTTGATTATTATCTTAGTAAATATAAATAAACATGCTAAGTACAAAAATAAGAGTGGCTACAATGCCAAGAAAGTTTCCCCCCACATACACTCTTTTAGGACTTTATTTCAATAAATAAATTTTGGAGGGAAGGGGAGTGCTGGGAATTACACCAAGAGCTATATATATATATAATGGTCTGCTACTGTATCCCCAGCTTCTCAGCAAATTAAAGGAAGTATGTTAAAACAAGTATTAAATTGAGAATTAGATTTTGATTCTAATTTCTCTTATGTCAGAAATGTACCTAGGTTGCTTTGGATAGTCACAGTTTTTAGATAATGTTCTGATCTGTGGAATGAGATAAATGTCTTTTACTCTAGAAGTTAATAAATCTGAGGGCTGGCGAGATAGTAAAGCACCTTGCAAGTGCCGACATGGTTCAGTTTCTGGTATCCCATATGGTCACCTGAGCAGAGCAGGAATAAGCCCTGAGTGCCAACAAGTGTGGCCCAAACCCACCCACCCTCCACCCCCCAAAAAAATAAACTTGGTAATCTCTGGTCCCTTTCAGCACTGACAGTTTCTTTTTAAATTTTATTTTGGAGACTTACTGTTTATAATTGTGTTAATGGTAAGGGCTTCATGCTTAACATGATCTCTCACCACACCCTCCCCCAGTGTGTCCACTACCTTCTACCATGTTTTCCCCACATTTCAAATACCCCCTACTCCCTTGCCATCCCTCCCCTGTGGTAAGCATCCTGACAGTTTCTAAATGCTTGTTGCAAACTAAGGCAACTTCATTTAAGGCACATAGTCACATGACGAAGGTGTTAATGGTTTCGTTCCAGATCATTACAATAAAGTAAATATAGTAAAGTGAGTCAGAAATTTTTTCTTTGCCAATGCATGTAAGCAGTTATGTTTGTATTGCACTGTAGTCTGTTAAATATGTAATAGCATTATCTACTTAAAATATATGTATCTTGGAGCTGGAGCAATAGCACAGCGGGTAGGACATTTGCCTTGCACGCGGCCAACCCGGGTTCAATTCCCAGCATCCCATATGGTCCCCTGAGCACCGCCAGGGGTAATTCCTGAGCGCAGAGCCAGGAGTTACCCCTATGCATCGCCGGGTGTGACCCAAAAAGCTAAAATAAAATAAAATATACATAATTAAAAATTATTGCTAGAAATGCTAACCATTGTGTAAATCTTCCCCAGTCCTGTTTTTGCTGGTGGAAGCTCTGGCCTTACTGCTGATGGCTATTGGCTGATCAGGGTGGTGTTGGGTGACTGTGGCAGTTCTTCAGTCTTCTGTATAGTTTGCTGCATAGATTGATTCCTTTCACAAAAATTTCACAGTAGCATGTGATGTTTTTGATTGCATTTTATTTTAATTTTTGGATCACACCTGGGAGTGCTCAGGGCTTACTACTGCCTCTGCTCTCAGGGATCATTCCTGGTGGGGCTTGGGGGACATGGCATATTTGGTTCAGAGATGGAGCATGCAAAGCAAATGCTACCCACTGTATTATCTCTCCAGCCCCAGTTTTATTTTGGTTTGTTTAGGATTTTTGGTAGCATTTTACCCACAGTTGAACTCCGTTCAAAATTGGAGTCAGTGCTCTCAGACCATACTGCTGCTTTATCAACTAAGTTTGTGTCATCTTCCAATTTCTTCGTTCTCATTTCACCTGTGTTCACGGTATCTTCACCAGGAGTAGATCTACCTCAGGAGACGTGGCTTTTTTTTTTTTAAACCAATGCATAAGAAACAACTCCTTATAGTTCAAATTTTATCTTGCGATTTCAGCAATTCAGTCACGTTTTGGGGCTTTACTTCTAATTCTCTTGCTTATGTCCCAGACCTGCAATTACTTATTCCACAGAAGTTTCCCCTCCCTTGAACAGAGGGTCTCACACTTGCTGGTTGAGTTTGTACTTCTGAGCTATATTCTCAGTTCTTAGCTGAAGTCATCCCCTCGCCCCCACTCCAGGTTCTGGAGATTTCCTGGTTCTGTGGATGGAACCCAAGGCAAGATAGTGTAGCTCTACCACTGCACTACATCCTCTGCCTGCCTCCACTTAGGTTTTCAACACCTCAAAGTCATTCATGAGGCTTGGTACACATTTCTTCCAAATTTCTTTCAATACATTTCTCCTCTTGTGAATTGTGAATATTGGCATCTAGAATGGTGAATCATTTTTTGAAGGTTAATTTCTTTTATCCAGATCTGTTAGAAATTATTATGGCAACTATAGCCTTATGGGGTGTGTGTGTGTGTGTGTGTGTGTGTGTGTGTGTGTGTGTGTGTTTAAATTTAATAAAAACAAGGCCAGGGAGGTATGGAAAGGGGTGAAGTGCCCCAAGTTTGGTCCTCAGCAATATATGGACCCCTTGCCCTCTCCTGCCTTCCTCTCCCTGCACTCCCAGCATTTCCAAGTGTGGCCCTAATGGCACCCAGCACTGCTGGGCCCAAACATTGAACTGTCCTGTTTGGTTAACTAAGTATTGTCAAAAGTGACCCCAGGATCCCCTGAATATTACTTTGGAGGCTTTCTTTCTCCAAGAGCAAATGAAAAATTCTTGAAAGTAGAAATTACTCCTCAATTCATGGATTTCAGAATGAATGGGTTTCAGAAAAGCATTAAGACAGCATCAGCGGGCTGGAGCAATAGCACAGCGGGTAGGGCGTTTGCCTTGCATGCAGCCGACCCGGGTTCGATTCCCAGCATCCCATATGGTCCCCTGAGCACCACCAGGAGTGATTCCTGAGTGCAAAGCCAGGAGTAACCCCTGAGCATCGCCGAGTATGACCCAAAAACGCCAAAAAAAAAAAAAAAAAAAGACAGCATCAGCTTCAGGTGCCCTTAACAAGAGACTCGCTTCCTGAAGCTTTGAAACCGTATTAACTCCCTCTGGCTGTGGAGTCTTAGATGGCATCTTTTGTCTGTTTTGAAAATCTGTTTAGGGTAGCCACCTTTATCAGCATTTGTTGCTTTACCTTGCATTTTGATGTTAAGGAGACAGCTTTTTTTTTTTCCTTAAACTTCTAGAATGTCATCTAGCTCAAACTATTCTATAGCTTTTCAACCTCACACAGCCTGTGTAAAATTGAAGGGTTAGGACCTTGATTTAGATTAAGCTTTGATGTAAGGGAGTTGTGGGTGGTTTAACTTATACAGTTAAACTAAAGCAGTTAAGACTTTCTTCATAACAAAATAAGACTGCTGGTGATGCTTGTGATACGTGTATTCACTGGCTCAGCATTTTTAGTTTTCTTTTAAAAATCTTTTCCTTTGAATTCACAACTTAACTGTTAGGTGCAAGAAACCTAGCTTTTAGTCTTTTCTATTGATAGGTTCTATTAATTTAAATTTTATTTTCCCCTTACACTTTATATAAACACTGATTTACAGAGTAAATTTTAAAAGATTTTTCCTCACATTACCTTTAATTAATGCTGTCATTTAACATCATCACAATTAGTACTTTAGTTCAGTTGAGAGTTCAGCTTGTGGGGCTGGAGCGATAGCACAGCAGTTAGGGCATTTGCCTTGCATGCGGCCGACCCGAGTTCGATTCCCAGCATCCCATATGGTCCCCTGAGCACCACCAGGAGTAACCCCTGAGCATTGCCGGTGTGACCCAAAAAGCAAAAAAGAAAAAGAGTTCAGCTTGGTATTAAACATTAATACTATTTATATATTATCCATTTGGATTTATGTATTCTCCAAATGGAGTCTTATCCATTTGGAACTGTTTCTTAAATGTCAGCTCTGCCTTCATTATTGAATTTTACTATGATAAAACAAGCGATTATAATTTTATCCTAAGAATCACTATCAAGGTGTTGTTTTTTTTAAGCAGGGTTTGACAAATATTTTACTATTCTTTAGCTGAAGAGGAGGCAAATGAAGAAGATGTACTGGGAGATGAAACAGAGGTGAGTTTGGAAAAAACTGGTTAGTCACTGACCTGACAGCATGCCACCACCTTTGCTACCTTGCTTACTATAGAGGGCTTAAATACACTAACTCATTAGAAGAGTTTAGAGGTGCATTGAATGAAGGTTCTGGAAGTCTGGTTCATTTTGGGGTCTGTGCCAGTTTAGAGATTAAGACATTTACCTTGCAGAGAGAGAGAACAAAAGGGAATGCCCTGCCACAGAGGTAGGGTGTGTGTGGGGGTGGGAGGGATACTGGGATCAGTGGTGGTGGAGAATGGGCACTGGTGGAGGGATGGGTACTCGATCATTGTATAACTGAAACCCAAGCACAAAAATTTGAAAGTCTACAACTGTACCTCATGGTGTTTCACTAATAAAAATTAAATAAAAATTAATTACCTTGCACGTGGCTGTGCCCACAACTGTTCAAAGCGTGGAGCCACATAGGTTCCCCTGAGCACTGCCAAGTGTGGGCCCTTAGCACAGAGCCAGGTGTAGGCCCTGAGCAAATGTTCTCTGCGCCCACTCCCATCCCTCCTACTCGCCCCCCTCCCCCCAAAAAAAAGATTAAGACTGGTTCATTTTGGGAGTTCTCATTCTATTGGTGGGTGGGTACTATGGATCTATGTTAACCTTCTTGTTTCATTTGATTTTAGGAGGAAGAACCAAAGCCCTTAGAACTGCCCGTTAAAGAGGAAGAACCCTCTGAAAAAACAGTTGATGTGTAACTATTGTTTTTATAATCTGAATACAAAGCAGTTCTGGATTTTCCCTGCTTTTCTTTTGTTGTTGTGATGATAGTGCTTGGTGAGGATTGCACACTTCCAGTTGTGTCAAGGATCATAACAGTAGTGCCAGCGAGAGTCATGCCTGACATTGGGGCTGTATTGGGGATTGGCTTTATTGAACGAATGGGTACGGGTACCCGAGCACTGCCGGTTATAGCCCTGAGGCTCAGGAGTATTTGAACAGCCCAGCTCAGAATTTTCAGGAGTGGTACTGGGCCTGCTGAACATCACTGGGGTTACTCTTAACTGAAAGAAAGAGTGGCATATATTTTTTAAGGCAGTTTCGTCTTTTAAACATTTCTGTTCTTCATAATTACATGAATTTGTAATAATAAAAGGCAACATTGGCGTTGTTTAATAGGGGACAGAGATATAATATAGTGGGTAGGGTGCTCGCATTGCACCCTACCCTGTTCTTTCCCTGGTGCCGCATATGATCTCCTTATGCCCCACCAAGAGTGATGGTGCCTGTGCAACAGAGCCTGGACCAAATCTGAGCCCTGCTAGGTGTGACCCCAGAACCAAAAAATAAAATTCAGGGATAATTGGCTTGTATGGGTTAAAGATCTTGACGTTTAAAAACTGTAAAAGTTCATTATCCTTAGTATATGGAAGATATGCAGTTCTTTTTTTAGGCGGCTTTAATTTTACTGGTGCATTTCTAAACAAGAAAATTAAGGGTTATAGTTAGGCCAGTACATGAACAGAAAGGTTCCGGTCCTTGCAATTTGTAGGATATTTTGTGTGTGACTTTAAATGAGAGGCATTCCCCATGAATTCCTAGGTGTGATGTGTATTTACTGCTTGAGCTTAATTGTGCCTAAGGGAGTTGGAATAGCACAAGGAAGCTTCCTCTCTGGGGTTCCTTTTCTGCCATGAGGTGTGCTGCAATGATTGTGCTTAAGATGGGAATGTGGAGGAAGTCATTAACGTGAGGTTGGTGGAGAAGACTGCTTTCTTAATGGCATTGGACTTCAAGTAAAACATTAAACTTCAGTGCCCTTTTTCGGATAGAGTTGGAGAATGAGTGGGAAACAGAATTCAGAAATATCTTCAAAAGTCCAAATGTTCAGGCCGAGTTTTAAGTTCTTTGAGTATTCCCCTTGCTTCATAGTTGACTTGAGGTTCTTTAAAATATATCTGCTTCTAGTTTGATTTTTAATTTTCTTCAGTTAAATGTTGTAAGACTTAGCTATGGTCAACAGGGGGCACCCATTGCTTGTCTGTCAGTCTATGAAACTTCAACAAAAGGGAGGAGAGAGTAAGTTCCTGTTTTAGAATTGCTTCCTCTGAAAATACCATTAAACCATTACTACCTTTCAGGGCATCAAATGGGAAAAGTGTCCGGGATATTGGAACAAAAGCTGCCCATGTCTCTAAATGAGGGACCTTAATGAGACTGGTTATGACCCACAGTTTTATGGGAGTTGTTTGGTGGAAGGTTAATGCCCTCCCATTTATCCTGGATACTTCCGAACTTTGACTCCCACCCCTCTGGTCCCCCCTCTTTTGTTTTTGTTTTTTTTCCTTAAACCTTTTGACTAGTAACTTACAATGTTTTCCTAATTCAAACTCTCCTTAGCTTTTTTTTTCCCACCTCCTTTGGCATTTTTATTTGTTACGCTTTGTTCCAACTGGAGCTCCAGTCCCTGTGAAGAAACAAGGGATTTGTTAAAGAAGCCAGAAATTGTAGAGCACTCATTAGTAGTTGTGATGAAAATTGAGAAATGATATGCTATTTAAATAAGGGTTAGTGTAATAGTCATTAGTCCAGAAATAAATGCCAAGTTTCAAAAAAATAAGTGAAATGCTTTTTGGTGTCCTTTAGTTCAGTGTGTTTAACCAGACTTCTTGTTGACGTTCTCATCCCTTAGTTTAGTCTGTAATAGAAACTTATTATTTAATAGATGAATTCAAGGAACTAAAGTTCTAATGAGCATCATGGTTTTGTTTTGCACCAAAGAGTAGGTGACACTGCTATGAGGTAATAGATAGGATTAAGGTAAATTCTTAGTTCTACAAGTTGGTTTTGATGATTTGTTCTCAAGTTTTATTAAAATTTTTTCTTCTAGGGCAACAGAGAAAAAAGTGGTAAAAATTACATCTGAAATACCACAGACTGAGGTTGGTATTCTGCTCCTTAATAAAATAGTAGTCTCTAGATTGATTTTTTTTTTCTTTCTGTTTTACACCCAGTGTGATGATCAGGTGATCGGGGCTTACTCTCCACTCAGGAATTACTCCTGGCAGTACTCAGGGACCGTATGGGATGCTGGGATCAAACCCAGGTCGTTTGCATGCAAGGCAAATGCCCTACCTACTGTACTGTCCTTCTAGCCCCTCTATCCCTCTATATTGATTTTTCTTCTCTTTCTTTTTTGTTTGGTTTTGGACCACACCCAGAAGTGCTCAGGGCTTAACTCCTGGCTCTGCTTAGAGATCGGTCCTGTTGTGGCTGGTGGGGGTAGGAGGAAACCTGTGCAGTGCTAGGAATTGAATCTGGCTCATCTGCTTGCAAATCAGTTACCTTACTCTTCTGTATTATCTCTGGCTCTGTATTGATCTGTATTGGCCCTTTATTCTATATTCATGTTGGACATTTTACTCATAGGCAAAAATCTCTGTTGACAGATTCTGGTGTTGATACAGTTTCCTACCAGTTAAACTTAAGAAAATATTTGGACTAAGTGGGAGTTAGCTATGAAACCCTACTTTTTAATGTGCACAGTACTGTGTTCTTAGTAGATCTTCAAGATGTTTACAATTTGACATCAGATACTGGGGGAATTATACCTTAGAAGAAATGAAAAATAATAAGGAAATATGTCACTCTTACGCTAGCAGGTAAAATTGAAATTTCTCTGAATTCTCTTTTAGAATCTCAAAACTAGGAGTTAGTCAGATCTTTGCCCTTTTTTAGTTACCATTAAAGTAACAAGGGCATAGGACAACACTGCCTCCTCATTTCTAACTGAAATAGGCCTCCTCATTTCTAACTGAAATAGTACCGCTAGTGTTGGAACCAAGCTGTTCCTTTGATCCCTTTTCAAAGGTCAACCAAACAAAGCTTTTGTCTTCTTTGACTTCATGCAGAATGTGGGTTTTATTTTATACCTTCCCTTTTGTTTTTGAGGACATGAATACAATAATAGTCTTTTTGTGTTGCTTTCAGGATAGAGCTGTCGAATTAAACCTTAGGATCGCTACAACTGATATCCTCTAGGATTATCAGTTTTCTCACTACAGACAAGAAATTACTTGTGATGTTCTAAAAATATATCCTCTTTCTCTTAAAAGATATAAACCAGAAATTGAAGTTTTTTCTCTTCCTCCTTTTGTCTGTTCTCACTTAGAGGATGCAGAAGAGAGCCGAACGATTCAATGTACCTGTGAGTTTGGAGAGTAAGAAAGCTGCCCGAGCAGCTAGGTGAGTATCCTGAATGTTTTGGGTCTGTAGTAGTGATGGTATAATGGGGGTGTGTGTGTGTGTGTGTGTGTGTGTGTGTGTGTGTGTGTGTGTGTGTGTGTGTGTGTGTTAATAGGTAAATGTTAGCAGGAACTGGCTGCTACTACCAATTCTAATAAGGTTTCCTTGTATCCGATTCTCTGAGCTCTTGGTGAGAAAAAAAGTACACTGAACCTCTTTCATGGGGTTGTTAGAATTAGCTAATGATTGCAAGGCTGAGATCACAAGCAAGAAGTGCCATATGTACACTTGACATGAAGACAGACACCAGGAGTGTGAACAGCTTCCTAAAATTGAGTTTGTTTTTCTTTCTACAGATTTGGAATTTCCACAGTTTCATCAAAAGGTAAGAACACAGATTCTCATGAGAAAAATATATTTATCTTTTTCTTTCTCTAAGTTAACATAAATGTGGTAGCTCAAGAAATATTTTAGAGGTTTGTCTTCTTTAGATAAAACTATACATTTTTAAGCCTTCCTGGGCAATTTAGAGAAGGCCTTGAAAATGTGAGAAAATAGGTGGAAATACTAAGTTTGTTTTATTTTTCTTGCACATCTCCAGAAAAGAATTTTGTTTCTTGCTTACTTAGTGTCTCAAATCAACATATAATTCCTGTGTACCTGTTCAGTGCAATGCTACCTAGTATGAGTGATACAAAGGAAAAGAGTATTTTTTAATGTCAGCGATCTTTTCTAAGCACTTACAAGGGACTAATCTTAGGTACTTATCCATAGGGATTAACACTGCATTATTTTCAGTAATCAGTATATACAATAGACAATTAGCTAAGTGAATGTGTACTATAGAAGGCTGCATATGTCAAAAGTAATACTCTTTGCCAGCAAGATATATAGTAAAAATGTTATAAAATTATATTAGCAGAATGTTCCCTTTTTAGTAATAAAACTAGAAGGATATATATAACACTCTATATATATATGTGTGTGTATATATATATATATATTTAACACTTCTGGTTGGTGGGATTTTGATCTGTGTATTTTTTTTTTTGTTTTGGGTTTTGGGCTACACCCAGCAGTGATCAGGAATCACACCTGGCATGCTTGGGGGACCATGTGGGATGCCAGGGGTTGACCTCAAGTTGACCACATGCAAGGCAAACCTACCCCCTGTACTGTTGCTCCAATCTGAAGAGAATTAAGCATTTTAAATGGCGTTTCCTGGTTCATTCCAGTCTTCCATTTTTTGGCGGGGAGGGGCTTGGGCCACACCTGGCAATGCTCAGGGATTTCTTCTGGCTCTACACTCAGGAATTACTCCTAGTGGTGCATGGGGGGCCATATAGGATGCTGGGGGTCAGTCTTGGGTCAGCCATGTGCAAAGCAGACAGCCTTCCTTCTATGGCTCTGGCCTCCGATCCAGTCTTCCTAATGACCTATAATGTTTTGAGTGTGTTAAGAAAATGTCTCCTAAGTATTTATAGTGTTTTGGTGCCCGAGAGATAGTATAGCGGGTAGGGTGCTTGCCTTGTACGCAGCCAATCTGGTTCAATTTCTGGCATCCCATATGGTCCCTTGAGCACTGCTGGGTGTGGTCCCAAAACCCAAAATAATAATAAATAATAAAAAAGAATACAGTGTTTTTCTGAGTTTTTTGTTTTTTCAGTCAACATAATTCTTGCCACGATCATTTTGCTTTTCTATGTAGGTTAATTTTTACCTTATTAATGGTTTCTTTTTTAAAGTTTTTTTACTTTTTTTGCTTTTTGGATCACACCTGGTGAATCTCAGGGATTACTTCTGGCTCTGCACTCAGGATTTACTCCTGACGGTACTCAGGGGACCATATAGGATGCCGGGGATCGAACCTGGGAAGGCTGCATATGAAGCGAATACTCTGCCCACTGTACTGTCACTTGGGCTCCACCTTATTATTGATGGTTTCTTTTGGTGTACAGTAGCTTCTAGTTTGATGCCCTTTTTGTTTGTGTGGCTTTTTTTTTGTTTTGGTCAGAGCACATTCAGTGGTGCTCAGGGGCTGTTCCTGGCTCTGTACTCGAAAGGAGAACCATATGTAGACCGAAAATGAATCCAGACTCAGCTACATGCAAGGCAAGCACTTGACCTCCTATGCTGTTTCTCTGGCTCCGTACCCCAGCCCCTCCCTTTTTCATGCCCCCAAAATGGTTAAGGAAGTTTCGTTTCTGATGTTTTCCCAGGAGGTTTGTGATACATGAGTGGTGTATATAGGCATTCAGGTTTATGTTTTCTTATTATCCCAGCATCACTTATTGGAGAGATGGTTTTCTCTCCCTTGAGTATTCTTGATTCCTTTGTCAAATCTCTTTTTCAGTGACTCCATTTGGACTTATTTTGTTGGGAGAGTCTGATTACTGATTAATCACCTTACCAATAATTGCACTGTAGCACTGTCCTCCCATTGTTCATCGATTTGTTCGAGCAGGCACTAGAAACGTCTCCATTCTGAGACTTGTTGTTACTGTTTTTGGCATATCGAATATGCCACGGAGAGCTTGCCAGGCTCTGCTGTGCAGGGGGATACTCTCAGTAGCTTGCCAGGCTCTCCGAGAGGGACAGAGGAATCGAACCCAGGTTGGCCGTGTGCAAACGCCCTACCCACTGTACTAGCTCTCGAGCCCACCCGTAATTAGTCTTCAGATTTTTAGTTGTATGTTTCTAAGAATTTTTTTTATTTCTACAAAGTTATATAGTTTAGTTATTCTTTAGTTATAGTATAGTTATTCTTATTAGCCTCTTACAATCCTACGAATTTCTGTGGTATCAGTTACAATGCTTCCTCTTTTCATTTATTATCTTGTTGATTTGTTATTAGTCATTAATTAAGCTGAAGATTTACTGTTGTTTCTTTACTTCAAAAACTTTGAATTCGGTTTTTCTCTTTTTTCAAAAAAATTTTTATTTTTGGGTCACACCCGATGGTCCTCAGGGATCACTCCTGGTAGGGCTGGGAGGACCACATGGAGTTTGGGGCATGGCATTAGTCTGCCATGTGTGAGTCAGTTGTCTTACTCTCTTTACTGTCTCTCTGTCCCCCGTTTTTTTTTTTTTTATTGTAAGATATTAGGGGTGGGGAAGGGGTTAGGCCACAGTCAGTGGTGCTCAGGACTTAATCCTACCTCTGTGTTTTGGGATCACTTCTGCTGGTGCTCAGGCAATCATGTGCAATGTTAGTACTGGCCCCTTGCAGGGCAATCACTTTGCTTCCTGTGCTGCCTCTCTGGCCTCTGTTTTTCTTTTTTTGGGGTGGACCACACCTGGTGGTGTTTTGGGGTTGCTCCTGACTATGCTTAAGGGTCACTCACAGTGGTGCTGATGACTGTGCAGTGCTGGGACTCGAACCTGGACCTCCCACAAGTTAAGCATGTGCTCAATCTGTCGAGATACCTCTCCGGCCCCTTAATTTGTTTTTCTTAGTTTCTTTAGGTATAGAGAGTTAGAATCATGCTGCTTAATATCGGTAGGTGTTTATTGCTGTGAACTTACTTTTAGAGCTGTTCTTGCTTTGTCCCATACATTCTGGCAAGTTGTGTTTCCATTTTTGCTTGTTACCCTTTAATTTCTTCATTAATTCATTGGTTGTTCAGGAAGATGTAATTTTTATTTTTATGTATTCAGGGGCTTTCCAGTTTTTTATTGTTATTTGGTTTTGGGGCCACACTTGGCTCTGCTCAGGAATCACTCCTGGTAGTGCTTAAAGGACCTTTTGGGATGCTGGGAATCAAACCTGGGTCAGTCATGTGCAAGGCAAGCGTCCTACCCCCATACTATCTCTCCAGACCCAGGCTTTCCAGATTTTGTCTTGTTTTCTATACTAGTTTTGTGGTTAGAGAAAAGTACTTGATCTGATTTCAATCTTAAATTTGCTAAAACTTGTTTAATGTCATTTCATATGATCTTCCCTAGAAATTATCCCATAGGCGCTAGAGAAGTGTAACCCATCAGTGTTGGATAGAATGTTCTGTGTATGTGTGTTGGTTCATTTGGTCTGTAATGTTATTCTAAGCCATGTTTTTCTATTGTTGAATACATTTATTTGTTGAAATCTCTCTTCTTAACAGCTTCATTGACAAATAGTTCATCCACTACACAATTAAAATCCATATAATCTAGTGGGTTAAAAAATTTTTTATTTTTTAGTTATTTATTTTTAGACTTTCATCATGCCATTAAAAGAAAACCTTGTAGGGCTGAACCCATATTACAGTGGGTAGGGTGTTTGCTGTGCACGCTGCCCACTCAGGTTCAATTCCCGGTGCCACGTGGCTCCTCATTACTGCTAGGTGTGATCCCTGAGCATAGAGCCAGGAGTAAGCCCTGAGAACATCAAGTATAACCCCCCCCCCCAATAAAACATTGTTTTGTTTTGTTTTTTGCTTTTTAGACTCAGCAATGCATAAGGGTCACTCCTGGCATTGCACTCAGGAATTACTCCTGTCGGTGCTTGGGGTACTATATGGGATGCTGGGACTCGAACCCGAGTCGGCCGCCTGCAAAGGCAAATTCCCTACCCAATGTGATATTGCTCCAGCCCCCACCCCCCAATAAAAAGTTTTTAAACCTCTCCTTCAATCCTAAAAAACCTTTTTTCCCCCCCGATGAACAATGGGAAGACAGTGCTACTGTGCCAGATATAAGTAATGGTATCAGCCATCTGGTCTCTTATGATTGGCTTTTCTTTTTCTCTTACCATAATAAACATTCATCCATGTTGTAGCATATGCGGGGACTTTTGTAAGGTGGGGTTTGGGAGGGGGTGGTGGGCATTGTGGTACCAGGGACTAAGCCAGGCCTCACACTTGCAAGGCGTATGCTCTACTGCTGAGCTCATTCCCTGCCCCATTTTGTTTCTTCCTCCCCTCCCTCCCCCTCCCCTTAGATTTTTTTGGTTTTTGTTTTTGGGCACTCCCAGCAGTGTTCTGGCTCTGTACTCAGGAATTATTTATTTCTGGCGAGCACTCTATCTGCTGTATTATTGTCACTGTCTGCTGTCATTGTCACTATCCTCCCGTTGTTCATCGATTTGCTCGAGCGGGCCCAGTAACATCTCCGCTGTGACAATTGTTACTGTGTTTGGCATATCGAATACGTCACGGGTGGCTTGCCAGGCTTTGCCGTGCGGGCGAGATACTCTCGGTAGCTTGCCGAGCTCTCCGAGAGGGGCGGAGGAATCGAACTCGGGTCAGTCATGTTGGCCACTTGCAAGGCAAATGCCCTATCCACTGTGCTATCACTCCAGCCCTACATGTATTATTACTATGAATTTTTCTTAAAATTGAGGCAAAATTCACGTATCATTAAAGTATTTCAAAATGAAACTTTCAGTGGCTTTTACTCTTTTTCTAAGTTGTGTGCCTATTACCTCAGTCCAGATTATTTTTTATGTTTTCAGTATTCCATTGCGTGACTGTCACATTTTATTCATTTGTCTGTGTTGAGATAGTTTTACTTTGGGGCTAATACCAATAATGCTACTCTGAACATTCATATACAAGTTTTTGTGTGGATGTATGGTTTTGTTTCTCAGATATATAGCTAGGAGTGGAATTGCTGGGTCATATGGTAAGTTCCATGTATTAACTTTTGGAGGAACTGCCCAACTTTTCTAAAGTTACTACACCATTTAGTTTTCCCATCGGTTACAAATTCAGACATGATCTCTTAACACAGTCTGTGCCTTTTGTTTTTTTCATCATAGGATAATGGACATTAGTCCTATACTATTTCTATATTGTTGAATTTGGTTTGAAGACTTTCAGTTCCTTTGTGTCTTTTAAATATGTTCAATAAATTAAATTTTTTATTTGCTTCCGTAGGACTGTCATCTGACTCCAAACCTATGGTAAGAAATCTTTTTTTTATACTTTGAGAGCTAAATTTTAAATCTATACAGTTTCCAGTTTAATACTTCCCTTTTTCCAGTTCAGAGGAAGCTCTGAGAAAAGATCAACATGGTGACCTTTTTTTCCCCCCACTACCATGTTTGCTACCCGTGACGTATTTGATATGCTAAACACAGTAACAACAAGTCTCACAATGGAGACGTTACTGGGCCTGCTGGAGCAAATCAGTGAACAACGGGAGGACAGTGCTACCATGTTTGAAGTTCTGAATTTTAGAAAATATTCAAATACTGAGAGGTCAGAAAAATTACCGTATCTTACCGTATCTTTAAAGTCATTATAAGGACAAGAGAGTTAGTACCATGGGTAGAGTGCCTGCCTTGCATGGGCTTACGTGGATTAAATCCCCAGTACCTAATATGGTTTCTCTAGTCCCACCAGGAGTAATCCTTGAGCGCCACTAGAGTGGCCCCAAAACAAAGCCATTATCAACATCTTCCTTTTCAGCACTCTTCCTGAACTTAAAGTACAATACTTATAACTGTTTCAGGGGATAATAAGCTTATTCTATTGTAAGACACATTCTAGACCATTGTGACTATTAGGCATGTTCAGGAAATAGGAACAAATGCTGTGGGGAAAATGCATTCAGCTTTATGAAATTCTGTTCTTCAGGTTACAGTTCAACATTGTAATGTGCTGTAATGTGTCAGTGTTGTACTGATATTATGGTGGTAGCAGCAGCAGAAACAATCGCAGTAACAGCTTTCATTGGAAATAAAAATGCTCCACATCTACCCTGACAATAATAACTCATCAAGTCGTCCAAGAAAACGGAAGAAGATTGAGTTGGGTACTGATCATAGATTTATAATTTGAAGGGAGGAGAGCTGCAGTGATAGTTGCTTTATACCAGGAGGTATAGTGAAGAATTCATTAAGGAGCCCTGGGGGTAACCCAACAATAGAGGCCTGTGATACCTCAAATTTTATCCTTGCCACTCCACATGCCTGGGTTGGAACCCCAGTGACTCTGCTCTTGGGATCACTGAGGCCACAACAAAACGTGCAACCCCAGTCATTGCAGGAACAACACAGGGATGGGAAATGGGTAGAGAACTGTTATAGCACATGTATAGGAATTAATGACTCGGACTATAAATGATAGACTTGCTTGTAGGTGATGATTTAGGCATTTGTTGGCTTTTTCAAGCAGTGTTTTGCCTGCTTTGATGTTAAACCTTCTCTAGGCTCTTACTGCCTTTATGAGTTGAAGGAGGCAGAGCTGAATATTTCACTGCATTCCAGAAGAGACTGTAATACTTTTTATTATTATTATTATTTATTTATTTATTTATTTATTGGGCCACACCAGCAATGCTAAGGACTTACTCCTGGCTCTTCACTCAGGAATGACTCCTTACAGTCCTCAGGGGGCCGTATGGGATGCTAGGGTTGGCTGCGTGCAAAACAAGCACCTTACCCTCTGTACTGTCTCTCTAGCTCCGACACTGTTTAATACTTAGTAGCTTGAATGGGAATTGCTTTAGTTCTTTATGTGGTATAGAGGGTTGGGTACCATTGCCTTCTACATTTTGTTTCATTTTTAATAATTTTTTCTTTCCCTTCATGTTTACGTAGGTTAATCTGGATAAGCTAAAGGAACGAGCACAAAGATTTGGTTTGAATGTCTCTTCAATCTCCAGAAAGGTAAGGTTCTGTTTTTGCAACATTAGAGAACTTGGGGATTTGACTACATAGACTAGAAATAACTGTACTGAGAATAGCACTGTCGCACTGTCGCACTGTCATCCATCATTTTGTTCATCATTTTGCTCAACCAGGCACTAGTAACATCTCCAATGTGAGACTTGTTGCTGTTTTTGGCATATCGAATATGCCATGGGGTGCTTGCCAGGCTCTCCAAGAGGGACGGAGGAATTGAACCCAGGTTGGCCGCGCGCAGGGCAAACTCCCTACCCATTGTGCTATCACTCCAGCCCATACTGAGAATATAGCTGGCTACTCAACACTCATTTCACACTGTGATTTGATTGTCTTCTTCTTGCTGACTGTTGCTTACATGTAAGAATTGTTTCTCAGAGCTAATAATTTTTTACTACAGGCGGTTTTCATTGCTTTAACCTGGCTATTAGAGCTTATTGTCTATATTTCTTGGGTAGAATTCAGATGTAGATGTTGAATTTGGTGTTTAACATGTTATGTTTGTTATGAATGTTTAATTATTGGAATAAATCCCTGGTAGAATTCAGAAGTAGATGTAGAGTTCAATGGTATAACATATTTGCATAAACTTCTAAAATTGGCATAATTGAAATTAAATTATATCATCTTGGGTTTTTTTTATTTGTTTTTGAGCCATACCCAGTGGTGCTCAGGGATCATGACTGGCAGTGCTAGGGGACCATATGGGGTTCTGGGGATCAAACCTGGGACTGCTGGGTACAAGGCAAGCACCTGACCTGCTGTATTATAGCCCTGGCCCCATGACAGTGCTGTTTTTGAAAAGTTAGTTAGAAATAAAATTTGGAGGTTTGCCCTCCAAATTGTCTCATTCTTCGTACCCTAATGATACTATCGACTTTGACACCATGATATAAGGTTTAAGTTGTAGCTTTTGCTTGATCCTTTTTGTACTTTTTGAATTAAGAATGCCTTATCTTTATATGTTTTTGTAGTGATGAGAAAGTTAGAAACATGAGCAGATAAATAAGCACAGGTGGGAGGTGGCCAAAGGCAGGGGCTCTGAGTGTCCTTTTCTGGGAGCCATGCAACGATGAATAAATCATAAGTCAAGAAGTTGGCCAGAATAGAACAGAGGATCCAAACCCACCTGGGCTAGAAGGGGAGTGGGGCCACCGAAGCAATTAATAGATTAATGCCTATACAGGACCTAAATCTTTGTATCAACCACAGAGATTTTCAGCAGTAAGGCCCTGCTTTAAGTCTTTGTTGTGCCCTTCCTGCCTGAGTAACTCAGTGTATTGTCACCAAGTAACCAATTGCAAAACCCATCTTTTTGCTCTTCACCCCTTTGTCTCATGAGTGTGGTATGTTACCAGGAATCTTCCTATTTAAAGTGCTCTGAACTATTCTGAGCCGAAGTTGATTGCCCAGCTGCATTCTGTTTTGACATTTAATAATTACATCTCCTTGTTTTCTTCCCTAAATTATGTTTTTGGTGTGATTGGAAAAGCGAATTCCGTTATAGCAGTACAGTAGCATTTAGTCACATATATTGATGACTTAAAATGTAGCTAGTGTAACTGAGGAACTGTTTATTCTTGTTTCTTGGAAGCCACAGCAAGCAGTGCTGAGGGCTTACTTCTGGCTGTGCACTCATGGATCACTCTTGGTGGACTTAGGGCATCATATTTGGTGCCAGGGATCGAACCTGAGTCATCTGCATGTAAGGCAAATGCCCTGCCTATTGTACTGTCACTCTGGCCCTCTAATGAAGAATTTATTTATTTATTTATTTATTTTGCTTTTTGGGTCACACCTGGCGATGCACGGGGGTTACTCCTGGCTCTGCACTCAGGGATTACTCCTGGCGGTTCTCGGGGGACCATATAGGATACTGGGAATTGAACCCGGGTCGGCCGCGTGCAAGGCAAACACGCCCTACCCACTGTGCTATCAGTCCAGCCCCTAACGAAGTATCTTTTATGTGAAATAAAATAATTTTATTTAGGAGAGAGAAGGGAACCTCATAAAGTTAAAAAATGGAATTACATGGGGCCAGAGCGATAGTACAGCTTGCCTTGCACATGGCTGACCTGGGTTTGATCTACAGCACATCTGAAGCCCCATCAGAAGTGATCCCTGAGCAGAGCCAGGTGTGGCTTAAAAAAAAACAAAGAATTATAAAAACTCAAGATAGAATGCTGACGAATTCCAAAAATGGAGTTGTCATAAAATAAAAGGAAGAAGTTGCACACCTGAAATACAGGTATTCTGGGAAACACCCAGGATGAAGTCTACTAGAGGAACTTGTAAATTTTATGTAGCCGCATTAAACACAAGACTAGCTTTTATTTCCCTCACAGAGTTAACATTTGAAAGTAGGTTGAAATTGGGGCTGGGGAGATAGAACAGCGGGGAAAGCACTTACCTTCCTTATATCTGACCTGCTTTCAATCCCTGGCACCAAATGATTCCCCAAGTCCTGCTAGAGTGGTCCCTGGGTGCAAGCCAGGAGTGAGCCCTAAGCACTGCCAGGTGTGGCCCAAAAACAAAAAGAAGGCTGAAATCCTCTAACAGACCACAGATTTGAACTACTTTTTTGAGAACTACTTTTTTGTGTCAGAAGTTTTTACTTACAGAATATGTGATACCAGAGTGAATCTCTAAAAGGAGAAAAATTGTAGGCAAGGGAGTGAGATTAGATTGCAGCTCGCTGTTACCTCGTGAGAGTTACCTGACTCAGAATCTAGTATTTTAACTTTTCTCTCACCATCTCACCAGAAATAAGTTGCTGCTGGTGTTTTGTTGGTTATGTTTAGTAACATAGGGTTAATGACATGATTAAGTTTGTATTCTGGGACAGATAGATCAGCAGGTGTCTGTGCACTTCATCCTGAGGTTATAGTATAACCTTCTATATAAATTTGATCACTTGTATCTTTTTTTTTAATTCTTGGGCTCAATTCTTAAGTGACCATGTGATGCCAGGGCCTGGGCCTTCGGCATGCAAAGCATGGGCTCAGCCCATTAAGCTTCCTCTCAGCCCTATTGACTTGCCTTTTAAGTTTCACCTTTTTTTATTTTTTTTTTGACCATACTCAGTAGTGCTCAGGACTTATTCCTGGTTGTATGCTAAGGGATCACTTCTGGCATGACTTGGGGGACTATGTGGGAACATGTGGTGCTGGGAATTGATCCCAGGTTGGCCATATGCAAGTGCCTTACCTGTAGTACTGTCCCTCCTGCCCCAAGTTTGACCATTTTTAAGGTACAGATTAAAAATGGTATGGTGTAAGTAGTAGAAATTAATAAGGTATAGATAAAATTCCTTGCCCTAGTGTCCTAAAAAGGTCATTGACCATTTCACCTCCTATCATTTATATTGCATAGTTTGTGTTTGCTTAATCCAGTTTTTTGTTTTTTAATTTAAAAAAAAATTTTTTTTTTAGTCACCATGATATACAGTACTGTCAATGATAAGGTTTCATGCATACAACATCCCAACACTATACCCCACCACTAGAGTGTCTGTTTGCCTCCACCACTGTTTACGGTTCTGCCTCAAACACCCCTGTCTCCCCACATTGATGGGACTAGTGTCACATAATCTGTTGTTTTGAGTCATTTGTAATCCCCTTACTATGCATCTTTATATTTGACATATGGGAGAGATCATTCTGTTTGACCCAATTTTTAAGACCCTGATCGTTTGCTGATTTCTTGTAATTAGAATCTGCTGCATACTATTAGATATAATAAGGAAAGTATGTCAGGAAGTAAGCCATATTTATGACTGTTGTTTGGCAGTTTTCAAATTGAGCTGGAGTACAGCAGGTCGGATGCTTACCTTGCACTCAGCTGACCTGGGTTCAATACCTGTACCACATATGGATCCCCCAAGCCCCACAAGGAGTGGTCCCTGAGTGTTGAACCAGGAGCAAACTCTGAGCGCCACTGGGTAAGACCCAAATACCCCCTCAATTTTTCTTTTCTTTTTCCTTTTTTTTTTTTTAAATAGCAGTGCTGTGATTTACAAAGTTAGTGAATTTCAGGCAAACAATGTTTCAGTCAGTCCCACCACTAGTGTCAACTTTTCTTCATCAGTGTCTGCGGGTTCCCTACCACCCCCAGTCTGCTTCCTTGACAGACACATTAAGTTTGGTTGTTGTAGATTAGATCTCAGGCTTTCAGTACTGTCTCTGGTTATTATATATATAGCTAATACCTCTCCACCACTGTTGTGTCCGAATCTCCTGATCCCTCCCCTTGTTATCTCTTCTTGATTTCTTTCCTTCCCTGCCCTCCTCAGGTGGCTGATATTTTTGCTATTGATATTTTTTAGAAGGTGACACTGGTTTACAGTACTGGATGCAATTCTGTATATATTAGCACCAGCAGTAAAATATCAGGAATTCTCCGCCGCAGTTCGTTGGTCCCTTTTATTCTTTGCTCCTCACACCGCCTCCTCCCAGTTCCAAATTTCTTGTATTTTAGGGGCTGAAACGGGCAGGGCGTTGCAGGGGCTAGATCCACGTTCAATCCCTGGCATTTCATATGGTCTCCTGATCCCACCAGGAGTAATTCCTAAATGCAGAGCCAGGAATAACCCCTGAGAACCACCGATGTAGCCCAAAACCAAAACCAAAAAAAAATACTGCAGATTTCTTATATTTTCGATTTGTGGTCTGCAGTATTGTACGTTTGAAGTATCATGTCAGTTTTTCTTAGGTTGACTCTTACATGACTACTCATATAGTTTGATCTTCTACTTTATCACTGTTAGGTACACAGTACACAGAAACTTAAAGAAATCTGGTTTCCCTTCGTCTTCCACCCCCACCCCCCAGTCATCTTCCCTTTTCTTCTCCTGCCTAAGAAAGGCCTGTTAGTTCATGTTTCCAGTTCAAATCTCAGTGAATAGAGTCCTGTTGGTTTAGAATAAAGGGAAGTGATGGGGAAAAGAATGACCCTGGCATTTATAGACATTTTTTTACACAAGAGGC